AGATCCCTGGCAGGATCAGGACCTCTCAAGTGTGCTTAACAGCAATGAGCAGCCTTGACAGAAAAGCGATTTCTCCTTCCACATGATGGATAACAGAGAAGTGAGCAAAGGAAACACAGAGAGAGGCAATTTAACAAGCACCCACACTGGCGAAATGAGTGATGTTTACGTGGTGTGCAGAGAGAAGACAATGTGGCGATGTGGTCCGTCTCAGCCATTTTTGTTGTAGCCTAATATCTCAGGATGACAGGCTGATCAATTGAAAATAATAGAGCAGAGTTCCAAAAACTGGGAGAGGCTAGCTTCTCTTCCACTCTAATGGAGAAGAATAAGGGTCTTGGTGTGACCCTTATTTCTCCTGGGGAAAGCTGGTCTCAGCCTGCTCCATAACTGTATACGGTCTACAGACAGAGGATGGATGGAAGGTTATATGTGGTGGGTCAACAAAAAAGTTGAAGTTTCCAAAGTCTGAGATTGAAAGTCACAAGTTTTATTGGTGTGTTTTGTTGGTGTGTTATATACATGTGTACATGTTGATGTTGGCATGTGTACATCCATGTGGAGGCCAGAAGTAGACCTCAGTTATCTTCCTCAATTGCTGTCCACCTTCCCTTTTGAGTATGGGACCAGAGCTCATCTATTTGTCAGTCTGGCATGGGAGTGAGCTCTAGGAATCCACTTGAGCTTCAGCAGTCTACCTGTTCCTACCAATCCCCAGGACCTGGATTATGGGCCTGCCCCACCATGCTCAGCTTTTATAGGAATGCAGGGGATCCAAGCTCAGGCCCTCAGCTTGGGTAGCAAGCACTTTACTGAGTCATATCCAAAGCCCTTAGTTCTGCTTTTAATGCTGGTTTAACCTAGTGCTAATTTTTTGCCATCCCTACTAACTTAGGCTGTAGGACCTTTACAGGGAGACTTAATCAGCCCTCTAAGTACCACAGCACACATAGCCTTGGTCTGCATCCCTTGCCTGTTAGGATGTTCTCTCTCTCCTCCTGTATGTCCATCTTCTCCAGTCTTCTCCACAGACCTTGAGTGGTATATTCTTCCAACTCCCAAATATCCCTGTCTTCGAAGATTGCTTCATCCCATGGACTCCAACAGCTGGCTGAGCAGATGAGACCAACAGCCTCCACTGTGTTACTTTCTGTGCCAATGACCGGCATTTCTATAGTGCTTTCTTTGTCTAGGAGCTGACCTGGGTGCTAGAGATAGAAATATGCTAGAGACTAGGTGACTCTACCAGAGTGCTAGTAACGTACACAGCCAGACAAGTTGGACTCATAAGTGGGTTAAAATATTATGTTATTATAATATTAACATAATGTTAAATTCAAGGGCAGAGGTTTTCTATACGTAGCCATGGTGCACGGAAATTATACCCAGAAAGTGTTTAAGACACTGTCTTTTCATATAGTAGAGACTGCCTAGGAACTTTCTAAGTAGCCCAGGGTGGCCTTGAACACCCATTTTTCCTGATTCTGCCCCCCAACTCTGAAATCACAGGTGTATGCTACCAATATTCAGCTGGCATCGGAACACTTTATAGGATGTAACTAAAATGCCCAAAGTCCATTCATTCCCTGCTCGTCTTGGCCGAGCTCTGGCTATCACCAAGAAAAAAGGAATCCTTGCCCACCGTCTTCAACTCTGACACAAGCATGGAATCAACTTGAGTGTACTTTCTGAGGAAAGCTAGTGGTACCAAGGGAAAAACCATCAATACGAGCATATCAAGTTCTTATTAACGTAGAAGTCAAGAAATACAGTGTGTCCTCCTTTAAGACCAACTTGAAATACTACATTGTGTATCATAACTGTAAGTGTCTAGATACACCACTGTTCAGACACACCAAGATACACATGTCATATCTGCACCCTGGGACTCGTTGAAGCTCCACATGGCGTTGCTAATTACGTTAATATAGCTTAGTATGTTCCTAGTTGTGGCTCAGGGCAGATGCAGCTAGGTGCCTATTGACTGTCGACTCCTTGTAGCTGTCTCTAGCAGCATTGTGACTTTTCTTTGGAATTTTCCTTCTTCCACTGGGCCACTTGGTTAGCTTGCCAAGCAAGATGATCCCATTTTCTTTGCCAGTGGCTGGTTTAGAAAGGATACCAGAGAGCTTGCTTCTGTGTGCTCTCATTGCTGTGGGAGGGAGGACACGGCAAGAAATGGAGCCTACTATAAGCAAGAAGCAGAGGCTCACCAGGAATTTTATTGGCCTTTGAGGTCAACAGAATTGCAGGCATTGTTACTGGTCCCTGTTTACTCTGCTGTGCCTTGTTAAAGTGGCTGGAACACTAAGGCATTCTTACTTAGTTGTAGTTGCTTACTCAGAAACTCTAAAGATTTGTTGTACTTTTAGTGTGTGCGTGTGTGTGCGCGTGTGCATGTGTGTGCGTGTGCATGTGTGTGCGCGTGTGCATGTGTGTGCGTGTGCATGTGTGTGCGTGTGTATGTGTGTATGTTGGGGATGCCACACAGGTCAAAGGGGCATCAGATCCACTGGAGCGTGAGTTAGAAGCTGTTGTGAGCTGCCCATCACTGTGTGCTAAAAACTAAATTTCAGTCCTTTGCAAGAGCATCAAGTGCTCTTGACTGCTGAGCCATCTCTCTCTCCAGCTCCTTACCTGATAATTCTAAGAAACACTAATTAATAATCATCCTCAACAACTGTTGATATTCTTTTCTATGTCAAGATATCAAAGAAAATATGACCCAAAGACCCACGATGAGTACAGTCCCAGGAAAGACCCTTCCAGGACACCAAGATCAGCTTCAACTGTTAGCAAGAAAGGTCTAGTCTTTCATTTACTTTTTTAAGCTTCCCAGTTGAGCTGGGAGAGTCAGGACCTCTCAGGAGGATTGTATGTAGCTGGAAATTTATTGAGCTAGGTTGAATAACACAGGGTCCTTATAACTAACTCTGTTTACCCAGGACCATGACTAATTGTATGTGTCATTTTATTTTATAATTATTACATAATAATTGTATGTGATTTTATTAGGGGACTGATTTCATAACTGTTAATAGATGCTCAAAAGGGTCTATTTCCCATTCCTCCCCTAAAGCAAGGAACTACTGCAGAAGAGGCAGCATTAGTTACCTTTGTATATCTGTGACCAATATACATGACAGACATACTTAAAGGGAGGACTTGGTTATTTTTGCCCCACAGTTCCTCACAGTTGGGTAGAGAGAGATGGAGACAAGGGCAAGATAGAGTTATCAAGGACATACCCCTTCGGTGAACTATATCCCCCAGCTAAGTCCTACCTCCTAGAGCCTCCAGGAGTTCCTAAAACAGCACCACCCACTGGCAGCCTAGGAGTCTGCAGGGAACATTTTCCAGTTAAACCATGACAATGTTTGACTTGCTTAGAAAATGAAGACATATATAAGTGTAATATCTTTGCCTTAGCACTCACGTATTTCCATAAATGAGAACCCTATGGGGTCTATTGCAGTGGGCCAGACTCTCCTGCAGCAATCAATGGTCCAGACCCAGGGGAGCTATCACCCAAATCCACACTGGATTGTACAAGCTGCCCAGTTGAATGTTGCTGTAGAAAGATCATTTGCTTCCTAGGTAACAAGGCAAAGAGAGCACAAGGGGAGGGGTGTTTGCAGGACGCCAGGCAAGAGGATGCCAGACTGCAGGAAGCTTCTCCCACTACGGCGCCTTCTAATCCTTGGCAGGGGAGGCCTATTGAGTAGAGAACACCCCTTCTTTGGGGGATGATCAGGAGAGGAACTTCATTTCCTAGCAATTATAGAAACTAGTCTAGCTAAACCTGCTATAAAAGCCTATCACGTAATAAATATTTGCAAATACAAGTGCAATTAAAAACGACTTTAGAGTAGTTGTAAGCAAAACAAAACCTAATGATAAGGAACGGAACGGGTGATCCTGAAATGCCTTTAAGGAGGGCATGGGCTAGAAGACATTTCCTGGATCAAGGAGATAAGACCTCTAGCAGGAAATGAGGCATTAAAACCATGTGTTTTGATTTCCATTCACTTTTTTCCTAATTGTGATTTCTTTTGGAGTCATATTAGTACTTTTGCAGTATTTTTTTCACCCACCCGCTCCAAAGCCACAATGGCATATGAGAAGATTCTCTGTTATAAGTTAATAGGGAAATGAAAATAGATTCCACCTACTAGGGATGTATATTTTACTCTTTAGTTAATTAATTAACTAATTGTTCCTGCTGCTATTGTTGAGACAAGGTCTCTCTACGTAGCCATGAGTGTCTTGAAGCTCACTATGAAGATTACACTGACTTCAGACTCAGAGGTTCGGCTGCCACTGCCTTTCAAGTGCCGAGATTAAAGGTGGCGCCACCAAGCCTGGATATGCTCTTTTGGTTTTTAAGAAGGGGTAAGCACTGGTCTTGAACACGGCTGCTGGGAATGTATCTCTAAAGTGGTCTGTTGCTGCATATACTGCTAGTGGCTTCTCAAAATTTAGACAAAGAATTATCATATGATATAAATATCAATTCCATTTATAGACTCATACATTCCCCAAAGTTGGAAGCTGTATGTTCATGGTCATAGCAGCATGATGCACAAAAGCCTAAGGGTGGTAGAGACTCTCAGTTGTCCACAGAGGGGTGGTACGGACTGTTGGGTATCAGCCCTGGAAGGAAGAACATTCTGGTGTGTGCTTCAACATAGATGAACTCTGAGGACATCATAAATGAAATAAACTGATTGAAAGAGGAGCAATGCCACATGATCCCACTTCTACAGGGCCCCCAGAGCAGTCAGGTTCACAAAGACAGGCGGACGTTACCAGGGGCTGAGTGGGGGCACAGGGGGCAGCTGTTTGCTATGGCAGAGTCTCAGTTTGGGATGACGAAAACATTCTGGAAATAGACAATGGCAGTACTGCTGAGATGAACCGAATACTCCGGAATGATAGAAATCTGTGGTATACATATTTTACGATGGTCAAATAAGAGGAGAGGGGCAAGCAATACTTACAAGATATAAGCAATCACCCCAATGGACCAGCAGTCAACAGCTTTGCTGTACGGTTTCTGGGCAAGAACTTCAGGAGCTGTGGGCAGATAAAGAGGATTCACAAATCTGATGATTTAAATGCCTGAGACCAGAGACATTAACTTAGACTTCTCATTTGTTGATTTTTTCTTATTGACTATTCAGATTTTGAGACACCTGTGAATCTAAAAACTGAGCAGGGGGCTAAGGAACCTGGACTATCAGTAGTAGGTCATATGCTCAGCCTGCACAAAGTCCCAAGTTCAAGGTTGACCCCAACTTCCAAAGATATTCAAATAGATAATAATAAATGACTCATTTGCCATTTTCCGCTAACTAAAATACAAAGAGGTATGTGTACATAGAAATAATCATCCAACTGATCAGTAAATAATCTGTTCTGAGTCCCAGAGTCAACACTGTTGTGCGAAGGTAATACTGAATTGGGGTATGGAGTATGAGCTGTACCCCCAAACTGACTCAAGACAGCATCTCTGGCTCCTGTGGGGTTCCATGAGGTACCATGGGGACAAGGTCCTTCCTGTGCCCTCACGGAGCACACAGTACAGCCGAGAGAGCAGGGATGGCTCGGAGCTGCTCTTGTTTTCCCCAACTTTGGGGTGAGAGTCTGCCGGCACTCCTGCCTGCTCCTCTACAGAGCAGGGACTGCCACTTAAACCACTAGTCCATCAAGAGTCGTTGCTTCCAGGGGTTGGGGCTCATTTTGTATTAGCCCTGACACCCGAGTTCCTGGCCTTGTGGCCACAGCTCAGGAACAGGTATCCACCTGGTGTCTGTGACCCACAGCATCTGGTGCAGCTGCACTCAATGCGGGTCAAGACATCTGAGATGATCAACCTCGCTGACAAGGGAAATCTTTTCACCTTCAACACAACCACGCCTGAGGCATCGTGAGCACATACTTCCAGAACAATGGCAAAGGCAGAAAAGAGTGAAAAGAGAACCATTGATACAAGTCCTTACTGTGCCTAGGATTGTTCTCTGGGATTCAAATGGCTGACTTACTCCAACATCCTTGGGGAAACACTATTATCATGACATTCATTATCCCTAAATTGTAGGGGAAGATACAAGGGCATTGAGGGGTTGAGCCAACTGGTCAAAGCAATCCAGCCAGAAAGTGGCCTCCTCACCCACTGCTGCTCGAAGGGACCTAACCTCACTAAGTGCTGCTATCAACTGGGGCTCGGGCCAGCAGCTCCCATGCATCCTGCTTTTATCTTCTCAATGAGAGCTGCACCTGAGCTCGGAGCACAAGGGCAGGGAACTGGGCAGACATGGAAAAGCAGGCCAGTCTGACTCTCATTCTGGAACTTTCTGTTCGACCATGCTGTTTGATTAAAGTGAGAACTTCTCCAGTCTGTAAGAAAAGTCCTGAAAATCCGCCACGGGACTCTGTCCTTTCAATCTCTTGAAAATAAATATCTCCCTGAGCAAGAATAAGAAGGTACAGGCTGGAAAGATAGCTCAGTTGGCAAAGAGCTTGTCTTCCAGAGTATGGTGCCTAGGACCCACATAAAAAGTATGGAGGCACGCTGTGATCCAGTGCTGGGGAGCTAGAGGAAGAATATCTGGGGTATTCTGGCTGCCAGGCTAGCCTACTTGGTGAGTTCTAGGCCAGTGGGAGACCCTGCTTCAAATAACTCAGGGTGGACAGTGGTTGGGTAATGACAGACAAGGCTGTTCTCTGGCCTCCAGACAGAGATACACAATGTGCGTCTGCATGTACCCACACACATGCATCTGCATCTACACACACACACACACACACACACACACACACACACAAATGTGCACATAATACATATATATACCCATACATTAAAAAGAATAGGAAGCTGTACAGTCTTTTGTTGAGTATCTGCTTATGAGAGAGAAATACAACTTATGGATTGGCCCAAATCTCATTTTACATTTCAGTCCTAAATTCCATTAAATCTTTTATGAAAACTTTTTTTAAGAACAGAAGAAATACATTTGCAAGTCTGTCTTGTCTTTGTTATGTTTGCCATCAATGCAGTAGCAAAAAGGTTTCCAGACTGGTAAACCACCTTGAGAAACAGCCTTCGGAGAGTTAGAAGCCAGGTGCATAGATGGGTCCTTCCCGACTCACTGCTAAGAGGATGCCTCTCAGAGTCCTCTGTAATGGGAAGTGACAAAGGGAGCCACTTAGACACAGTAAATGTCCCTTTGATTTAGGAGACTGGCACTCTGGTCTGAGCAGATACGCTGGCACAGATGGCGCTCAGTGACTGCATCTGATGAAAAGTGTGTCACTGGCAGAGGAGGCACCCAGGACACCTGACGACCATTCTCACTACACACAGGGTGACCCAGATGTTAGGGGCAGAGACAAGCTGCTCGCAGAGGCCCTGGATCACTTCAAGGATCCCAGGGCTCATTAGCAAGATGGCCAGCCATCCAGCCTGGTCTGACCAACCTGCCAACCCAGGTGTCAAACGGTACAGAGGCACAGGGAATTAGTGCCAGACTGACGGCACGGTCTCACTGTCATTGCAGCAGGTGCCCACATGGCGACAGGCACAGATGGCAAAGACACAGAGAAGGAAGCTGTCAGTATTTTGACTGCTGCTTACATAGTAGACAAGCAAAGACTGTCCATGCTCTGGGGTAAGATGTTCAAGGCGAACAGAGACCACTGTCCTCAGTCATACCTCTCCAAGGATGAACTCATTTCGTCTCTGTTCCCTTTTCCTCCCTCTATTGACTGTGGAAGGGAGAAATCTTTAAAAGAACAAAACCTATTTTCAAACCCTCAGTCTCAGAAACAAGAGTGTGCTGGTACTAGCCACATGTTTCCCCTTGGGTAGGAAAAGCCACTAGCGCTCTGGGCAACTGGGAAATGCACTGTATGGAATCCAAAGCAAGCAGTTGATTTGCATGACTTGAAATGTTGAGGTTTAGTGTGTGCATGAGGTCACATTCTGAAGCTAGAGGACAGCCTTGGTTCACCTTCCTCAAAAACCATACGTTTTTCTTTTTTTGAGACAAGGCTTCCTATGGCCTGGAACTTAGCAAGTAGGATGGGTGAGCAGGCCAGTGAACCCCAAGGAATCACCAGGGAATCCCAGTTTCCCCAGTGCTGGTCTTACAATCCCATCATATTCAGTTAAAAAAAAATAGGTTCTGGGGATTGAACTCAGGTTCCCATGCTCATGAGGCACTTTACCACCTGAGCCATCTTTCCAGGCCTATGACACACAGGTTCTTGAAGCCATGTATTTGCTATAATCATTTTTACATTGTGGGATTTTACCTAGACAATAACGTTTGTAACATCGATCATACAGATAGAAAATGTTTCTGGTTTGCATTGGAAACATGAATGTGAGGTCAAAGTTTTAAGTTATCAATAAGCAAATATCAGGATAACAAGACTCTGGGTAGGAATGTCTGCATTCATGCCAAACTTCTGTTGCTCTTTTTGATGTCTTATTTAAGCTATACTGACACAAGTAATTTCTAACAAACTTGTAGGGGATAATCTATTTGCCCTTTGGTGAAGTTCTTAATTGCATTTGTAAGTAAAGACAAGAGGCCGAATGTGACATAAAATGCCAGGTCAAGTGGCTCATGACTGAGGAAAGATGAGGGCTGATTTGAGTCCTGGCCAGCCTGAGCTACAGTGAGTTCTTGGCCAACCTGAGCTACAGTGAGTTCCTGGCCAGCCTGAGCTACAGTGAGTTCCTGGCCAGCCTGAGCTACAGTGAGTTCCTGGCCAGCCTGGGCTACAGTGAGTTTCTGGCCAGCTTGGGCTACAGAGTGAAACTTTGTTTTCAAAGCACAAAATCCTAAAACTAAAAACAACATAAAATAAAAGAACAAAAGAAATAAAATTTAAAAACATAAAGCAAAGTGCTTTGCAAACAGCATCCCCAGTAATTCCATGTATTTAAAAAAAACACTGTGACATGGGTGGTACACACCTGTAACATGGCTGCTGGAACCATGGGCACTAGGGAACATCCTTTGGAAAATCTCACCCCCAATGGCTTTCAATGTTTTCCTTTCATCCCACAGACATTTTGGGGGAACAAAATCTCAGGGGCAAAGATATAGCTTGGAATCAGAACACTTGCTTAGAATGTGTGAGACCAGGCAGGAACCAGAAGGCAGGGTTATAGAGTAAAGGAAGCCGAGTCTTGGACTGGATTTTCCTCTTGAATTTGCTCCACAGCAACTGAAAGCTTGGACTGGAGTGGTCCATTGGCCTTCACCGTGGCCCTCATCCATGCAGATGGGCAGAAGCAGATGAAGCACACGATGGCTTTCATTGAACAAGAAGCCAATGAGAAAGCAGAAGAAATAGATGCAAAGGCGGAAGAAGAGTTCAACGTTGAGAAAGGTTGTCTTGTGCAAAACCAAAGACTGAAGATTATGGAATAGTATGAGAAGAAAGAAAAGTAGATTGAGCAGCTGAAGAAAATTCAAATGTCAGGTCTGATGAATCAAGCAAGGCTCGAAGTCCTCAGAGCAAGAGACGACCTCATCACTGACCTGCTCAGTGAGGCGAAGTAGAGACTTAGCAAGGTGGTAAAATATATAACCAGGTACCAAGTGCTACTGGATGGCCTGGTCCTCCAGGGCTTGTACCAGCTGCTGGAGCCTCGGATGCTTGTGTGCTGCAGAAAACAAGACTTCCTTTTGGTGAAGGCTACAGTACAAGAAGGGATTCCTGTGTATACGCCATGGGGAAGAAGAGGAGGAAGAGGAAGAGGAGAAGGAGGAGAAGGAGGAGGAGGAGGAGAAGGAGGGGGAGGAGGAGGAGGAGGAGGAGAAGGAGGGGGAGGAGGAGGAGGAGGAGGAGAAAGAAAGATGTTGATGATCGACTAGGGGGCTAAACTTCCTGAGGAGATAGCTGGTGGAGTTAAAAACTGTAGTGGATCATAAGACAAATGTTTCCAACACTCTGGAAAGCCAGCCAGACCTCACAGCACAGAAGATGATGCTGAAAGTTCAGGGAGCCTTGTTTGGTGCAAATGCCAATAGAAAGTTTCTGGGCTGAGCCCAGGGAGG